GCTGTGGAAGTAGGAGTCCTTCCTGCTGAAGGCGACGTAGGCGAGGACGTGCACGAGGACGATGCAGGCGAACTGGATCTGGAGCTGCGGCAGCGCCAGGATCTCGGCGCTCGTCTTGCCAATGTGCGCGTCGGGGTCCACGGCCGGCGCGCGCTTGCCGAAGAGCCCCATGGTCGGCTCGCAGCGATCAGATTCGGCGTCGCGGCGCGGACGAGTGCGAGCTGTAGGTTCAAGGCAGGTCTGATGCGTTCAAGGCGCGGCGCACGTGGACGTCCGCGGCCGCGGCGCGCCGCACGCCCCGCGCGACGTCCGATGCACGCGTCTCCGACGTCCGCCCGCACGCCGCGTATGTTGTCTACGGCGGCTCGGCGTCCTCGAAGGGCGGCGAGAACTTGGCGAGGTGCGCGCGCGCGACCGCGAGGACGCGGCCGAGCGCGTGGCGCTGGTCCGCGGGGACGTCGCCGGCCATCAGCGCGCCGACGGCGTCGAGGTCGCGCCGCAGGGACCCGGCCAGCACGAGGACGCGGTCGCGGTCGTGGGTCGCGCCGCGGTCGTAGCCGCCGTCCGCGAGCGCGAGCTTGCAGCGGATCGCCGCCGTGAGCGGGCTGATCGCCGCGGCGCCCGGCGCGTCCTCGAGCGCCGCCGCGAGCGAGCACGTGACGAGCGAGCCGCAGGGATCGTCGTCGTAGATCGCCGCGAGGTTGCGCAGCGCCCGCCGGCAGACGTCCGCCGGCGTCGGGCGCGAGCGGAGCGCGGCGTCGAGCGACGCGCGCGCGTGCGAGAGGGACAGGCCGTTGTGCCCCGCGATGAAGCCCTCGACGCTGCGGCGGTCGAGCGTGCAGGCCGCGGGGTTGCCGCTGCGCGCGAAGACGTCCAGAAATAAATTCGCGGGCTCGTAGCGGAGCAGGAAGTGGCCTGTGTGGAATTCAACCACTGGTTTGGGTGGTCCTGACCAAACTTTGAAATTCTCTAGCTCGGTCAAATCGGAGTCGATTCGGTTGATTTTTGGATGAATCGATTGCTCTCGTCGAGTTCTCGAAGCACAGCCGAAGAGCTTGCGTCGAAACTGTCGCATATGCGCACATTGAAGTCGGGTTGAAGATTTGAATTCCACACGGGAAGTGGCCCGGCGCGTTCACGGGCGCGATGGCGTCGTCGCGGACGCCCGCGCGGACGCAGACGGCGACGAAGACGGACGCGATGGAGATGGGGATGCCCAGCCGCCGCTCTAAAATCGCGTCGACGAGCGAGTTCTCCGCGTCGTAGTAGTCGCCGCGGTTGCCCCGGAGCGGCGGCCGCGCGGGATCCGCGCCGTCGAAGAGGAGCCGCTCGACGGCGGTCATGAGCCGCAGCTCCCGCGCGACGTCGTCCCCGCCCGGAGCCGCCTCCGCCTCCGCGCTCGAACGCGCGAGGTCCGCGAGCCGCGCGAGCTCGCGCGAGACGCCCGCGTCGTCGAAGAAGACGCGCAGCGCGCCGGCGACGTTCCGGAGGCCGGCCTCGAAGGTGTCGACGCGGGCGCCGGCGCAGCAGAGGCCCGAGGCCCGGGCGAGGGCGGCGCCCGCGTGGCACGCCGCGCGCTCCGCGGCCGCTTCATCCCGCGCGCGCGGCATCTCGAGCGCGCGGACGACGCGCTCCGCCGCGCGGCCCGGCACGGCCCGCAAAAAGGCCGCGTAGCGGAACACGTCGCGCGTCGGCGGCTTCCGGATGAAGCGGCACGGGAAGTTCCAGGGCCCGCCGAGGTGCGGGTTGTCCGCGTCGACGACGCCCGCGAACTGGTTCACGCAGTGGCGGTCGCCCGCGAGCGCGCCGACGGTCGCGAGCAGCTCCAAAAGCAGCGCCGGCGCCGCCTCGACGAGGGCCTCGAGGTCGCGCGCCACGCAGCTCCGCGACAGCGGCAGCTCGCCGCCCGGGCCCAGCAGCGCGGCGAAGAGCTCCGTCGCGGCCCGCTCGCTCGCGATCCTCGTACCGAACGCCGCGCGCCACCACGACGGCGTCTCAATCGGATCGTGCTCGTCACCAGCCGTACCGTGTTGCCACCAGCGGCGGGCGTACTCGCCGCGCCAGGCCGCCTCGTCGACGGCGACGTGGCGCCAGTCGCGGCTGATCAGCGCGCCGCGCGCGCGCACGACGAAGCCGCCGGCGGCGAAGACCTCGGAGAGCACGGCGTCGGGCAGCGTGAGGCCCTGCGGTTCGTCGTCCTGCATCGCGTGCTCCTGCGTCTCGTCGTCTTCCATCTCGTGCGCCTGCATCGGTTGCTCTCTCGCTGCGACTGCACGGTTCGGCAGCCTGTGACGAGGATGGTGTCTGACGGATGGGTTGTGTCGAGCCGATGCATCAATCACACAGATTCACCTCAAGTTGACCTCAACTGGTGAAAAGGCTCGTCGATGATGATGTACGCTTGGCGACTCCGACGCGGAGACGGTGATCGTGATGCGTGCCTGGACGTATCCCCGGCGCCTGCCCGGCCGGCGCGCCGCCGGGCGCTCGTCGCTGATATTTTTATTATGTTCGATCGCGGCCCCGTCCCCGCGACGCGCCGGTCCGGCCCTAGTCGAAGAGGGACGCCGTGTCGGCCTTGGTCACGGAGGAGCCGAAGAGGCTGTCCTCGCCCGGGTCGTCGTCGCCGAGGAGGCCGTCGAGCGCGGCCTTGCGCGACGCGTTGAGCTTCTCCTGCTTGACGCGCTTCTCCTCGGCGACGCGGAAGGCCTCGGCCTCCTCGGCGGCGCGCTTCGCCTCCTCCTCCGCGCGGCGCGCGGCCGCGACGCGCTCCGCCTCCGCGCGCTGGATCGCGAGGCGCTCCTCGAGCTGCTGCTGCTCGAGGCGCCGCGCGGCCTCGGCGCGCTCGCGCGCGGCGCGCTGCCGCTCGGCCTCGGCCTCGGCGGCGGCCGCGCGCTCCGCCTCGCGGCGCGCCGCCGCCTGGCGCTGCTCCTCGAAGCGCGCGTTCGCGAGGGCCTCGGCCTCGATGCGCCGCGCGGCCGCGGGGTCCGGGCCGGTCGCGGGCGCGTAGCCGTTGCCCGGCGGCGGCGCGGAGCCGTAGGCGCTCCCGTAGGGGCTCGGCGCGGGCATGGTCGGCGCCGACGCGTAGGTCGGCGGCCCGTAGGCGGAGGCCCCGTAGGCGGCGAGGCCCGCGGGCGCGGCCAGGTCGATGGGCGCCAGAGGCATGGACGGAAAAGGCGACGGGATCGGGTGCGCCGCGCCGGCGGGCACGGGCGCGCCCTTCTCGACGGCGCGGAGGAGGCGGTCCATGGTGATCTGCTGCGCGCGGACGAGCGCCGTCAGCGCCTCGATCTTCAGGTCCTGGCGCTCGACGAGCTCGCGCAGGTCCGTCAGCGACGTCGCCCCGCCGGCGTACTTGGACTCCTCGGCCATAACTTCTGGCGGCGCGGCGGTGCGGTCCTGCAACGGAAGCGTGGATCTGCGGCGGCTCGTGCGATGCGGCGCTCGCGGTCGCGTCGTCGACTGTTTCCTGTGTGGCGGCGGGGTGCTCTCCGAGAGGCGGCGGATTGAGAGGCCTATTGAGCAGATGTTGAACGGCAACATCCAGGATGAAGCCGCACGCCCTCCCGCAAACAGCTTAGAAAGTGCCTGGGGGGTGCTGCTCGACAGCGTCACAATGGATAACAGCGACCCAGAGGTCGTTCGATGGTGGCGGGCGCGCCAAGCTGCGAGTGGGCGTCGACTCGGACTCAGGCTCAGCGGCCTCATGTGGCGACACCGGGACTCAGGAAAAGAAAAAGACCGTGTTACCTACCTCCCGCGGGGCATGCGCGCGGCCTGGGCGTCGTACTTGGCGTCGACGGCGGCCTCGAGCATCTCCGCCTTCGGGAACGCGTCGGCGTAGGCGTCGTAGTCGTTGTGCGCGCCGCGCTCGTCGACGGGGAAGGACGGCAGCCCCGTGGTCGAGAAGACGTCGCAGCGGCCCGGGGACCACTCCGCGCCGTCGCGGTCCGGCGTCACGCCCACGTAGCCCCAGTAGTCGACGGCCCTCCGCTTCGAGCCGCAGCCGTAGCGCTTCGCGTCGCGGAGGTCGATGAGCGCCGCGTCGACCCAGTAGTCGAGCAGGTCGTGGAGCCCGAGGAGGTAGTTGACGCGGAGCATGGTCCAGAACTGGATGCGGCTCCGCAGGTCCCAGTCGTCGGTCCAGAACACGGGCCGCAGCGGCGACTTCGACGGGATGTAGAGGTGCGACACGACGTCGCGGTCCGGGTGGTAGAAGTCGTAGCCGTGGGTCCACGCGCGCACCGCGAGCGACGTCTCCTCGCCGTCGAAGAGGAAGAGGGAGTGCGCGTCGTAGGGCACCTCGAGCACGCGGCTCCCGTTCGCGAAGTTGAACCCCGCGGCGAGGAACGGCACGAGGTTCGGCTGGCCCGGCCGCTTCATGTGGTTCACGTCGTGCTTGAAGGACGTCGTCCGGCCGACCTGCACCCGCCGCGTGCGGCAGATCGACATCTGCGAGCTCGACAGCACCTTGACGTCGATCGACGCCTGGTCGTCGGTCCTCCGGCAGGGCAGGCAGGGCCCCGACGCGTCGACGTCCTGCCACTTCTCGCTGCTCTTCGTCGCCGAGTAGGACGCCGGGTACGTCGTGATGATGGCCCGCGGGTTGCCGATGCGCTTGAACATGTCGATGGCGACGTCGTCCCAGCCCCGCGCGAAGTTCGTGTGCGAGTCGAAGGACATGACGTACGTCTCGCCGCGGTAGAACTTCTCCGAGAGGTGGCGCGCGATCGTCGGCCCCAGCGTCTGCTTCCAGTCCACGCGGTGGACGCGGAGCTGGTCGAGGCGGCCGCAGACGGGGTGGTCGGGGCAGGCCACGAGATCCGCCAACCCCGCGACGCAGTCGACGTCCACGGACGCGTTGTTCTGCTGGTAAATGCCGAAGAACACGCGCTCCGGCGACGCGGCGCGCGCGTAGGCCCGCGCGACGGTCTTGGCGCACTCCGGGTCGCGGTACGACGCGATCGAGATGAAAATCGACTCGCGCGGCCAGCCGCCGGCGGCCGCGCGCGGGCCGAGCACGGCCGCCGCCTGGGCGCGGTTGTCGACCGTCGACGCCCGCGGCGGGCGCGACCGCACGTCCGCGTCCGCGAGGCGCGCGCGCGCCGCGTGGCCGGCCGGGAGCGCGACGCCGTCGCCGAGCTCGGGCAGCGGCGGCCGCGGCGGCGGCTTCAGCGGCGGGATCTTCTTCGGCGGCCGCCAGATGTCCTTGACGGGCGGCGCCTTCTTCCTCGGCGGCGGCGGCGGCCGCGGCGCGGCCGCGTCCTTGACGATCCGCCTCGGCGGCGCGTCGCGCGGCGGCGGCGCCGGCGCCGGCGGCTGCGGCGGCGAAAAGTGCTTCTTCACCGGCGCGACGGGCGGCGCGTCGTGCTCCTCCTCGAGGGAGTGGTGCGCGCCGTGGCCCGCGGCGTGCCACTTGCCGTGGAGCACGAGCGTCGCGGCGCCTTGGAGCATGATGATCGCCGCGACGATGGCGACGGCGGAGTACGACGCGCCGCCGCCGCTCTTCGCGCCGCTGCGCTTCGCTCGCTGCACGGTGATGACCGGATCCGGGCTGCTCCGGCGCGCCATCGCTGCCGGCGCGCACACCGCGTCGGCGCGCGCGCGGCGTGACGAGGGCGAGCTGTGGCAAATCGTTGCCCGTCAACTTGTCTGCAACCTCGGCCAAGATGAAACTCGGCAGCCCAGTCGTGGCCACCACCCACAAGTGGACAATGTCGGGCTGGTTCACGGTGACGGGCAAGAATGGCGCCCTCGTCCGCGCCGAGGCCCGCATGGACTCGGCCAAGGTCGAGGAGCTCGCGAAGGGGACGCTCGTGCGCATCGAGGAGACGGCGACGCTGCCCGAGGGCAAGGAGCGCGGGCGCCTGACCCATCCCCTGGCCGGCTGGATCACCGTCGGCAAGGGCCTCGACCCCGCCGCGGCGCCGGCCCCAGAAGCCGCGGAGCCCGCCGCGGAGCCCGCCGCGCCCGAGGTCGCGGCCGCGGCGCCCGCCGCGCCCGAGGCCGCGCCCGAGGCCGCCGCGGCCGCGCCGGCGCCGGCGCCCGACGACGACGACGCGTTCCTCGACGAGGACGAATCGACCTGGTGCTGCGGGAGTCTGGGGGGCACCTGCGACATGTGCCTCTACCTCGGCGGGCTGCCCCTGGGCTGGCTCGGGGGCCTCGGGCGGACGACGCGGACGCTGACGGCGACGGCGTCCATCGCCGCGGCGTACAAGAAGCACGAGACGGACAAGGCGTCGACGGGCAAGGAGCGCGACGACAAGCTGCGCGCCCTCCACGAGAAGACGGGCGCAGAGCTGCTCGAGCTCTTCGAGAAGAACGGCGGCTTCCAGATCAAGTTCGGGCAGATCTTGGCGTCGCAGACGAAGATGCTGCCCAAGGAGATCACGGACGCGCTCCGGCCGCTCCAGGACGGCGCGCCCGAGCGGCCCTGGGCCGCCGTCGACGCCGTGCTGACCAAGGCCTACGGCGGCCTCCCCGGCGGCCGCGACGCCGTCCTCGCGAGCGTCGACGAGCGGCCGCTCGCGGCCGCGTCCGTCGCGCAGGTCCACGGCGCCGTCCTCACGCCCGAGGCCGCCGCGAAGTTCGGCGCCCCGGCGAACATCGTGCTCAAGGTGCGCCACGCCGACGTCGGCGCGACGATGGAGAAGGACCTGAGCCTCTTCGGGTGGGTGACGACGCTCGTCGGCGCGGTGTTCAAGAACGTGGACTTCACGTGGGTCAAGGCCTTCATCACGGAGTCCATCGAGCAGGAGCTCGACTTCACCAACGAGGCGGCGCAGTGCGAGAAGCTCGGCGGGTTTTTGGCGCGCGCGCGGCCGGGCGCGGGCGTCGCGGTGAAGCGGTCCGGATTCATGCTCGGCGACCTGCCGTCCGTCCGCGCGCCGCGCGTGATCCGGGGCCTGTCGAACACGGGCCTGCTGGCCATGGAGCGCGTCGCGGGCTGCCGCCCGACGGACGGCGCCGCCGTCCGCGACATGGGCGCGACGCCCGTGGCGGTGGCCCTGGGCCTGCTCGAGGCCTTCGCGGAGTGCATCTTCCTCCACGGCTACGTCCACGGCGACCTCCACCCCGGGAATTTGATCGTGGCGCCGAAGCCCGAAACCAAGGCCAAGTGCGAGCTCGTGCTCATCGACCACGGGCTCCACGTCGCCGTGCCCCGGGACTTCCGCGCGGCCTACTGCCGGCTCTGGAACGCGCTCGCCGAGGGCGACGAGGCGGGGCTCAAGGCCGCGGCGGCGGCGCTGGGCGTCGGCGGCGACGACTACCGCGCCTTCCCCTGGCTCCTGGGCTACATGCCCTACGACAACTGGCTGAAGCGCAAGATGCCGTCCGCGCGCGACGTCGCGCGCATGCGCCGCACGGGCGAGCTCGACGCCGTGGGAGACCAGGGCTTCTACAACCGCATGCCCTACGTGCTCGTCGTCATGCTCCGCACGAACATGCAGGTCGCGGCGATCCTCTTCGAGAACAAGGGCTGGGCCATCTCCCTCTTCCAGGTCATGTCGACGCACGCGCGCCTCGGCCTCGCGCTCATCGAGTCCGGGCCCGTCGACGACGCGGAGGCGAACGGCTGCCCCTACGTGTGGATCGCGGAGCACAAGCCCAAGGCCGAGGCCGACGTCGCGAACGCCGTCAAGTACGAGAAATCGTAGTAAAAAAGTGCACACATCGTTTGGTTGAACCGTGAAGGCTGCCCAAAATATTATGGTGACAAGATGGTCCGTTGCATGCGACCGTCGTCGTCGTGATCGCAGCGCTGCACGTCGCGGCGGCCAAAAAGAGCGCGTCGACGTCCAAGCACCACGCAGCCGCGAAGACGGAGCACAAGAGCGCGTCGACGTCCAAGCACGGCAGCCACGCGCACCACGCGGCCGCGAAGGAGGAGCATCGCGAACCGGCCGCGTGGACCCCGGATCGGCTGTGGGGCGCCGGCGACGGGACGCCCGCGTGGTCCAGGGTCCAGAGCCTGCACGACATCAAGCACGCGTTCCGCTTGTTTCCGCCCGGGAGGATGCGGGAGAACTACGACGTCGTGTCGGCGAGCGAGACCACGCGTGGTGCACGCTCACGCGCTACAACTGGGCGTGCGTCGGCGACGCGTACGCGGCGGTCCTCAATCGCACGCAGCCCTATCGACCGTGGCGCTTCCAGCTCGCCAATCTGCCGCAAAGCGCGCGCGTCTTCGCGGACGCGAACTCGTACCTCGCGGAGCGGATGACGACGCTGCTCTGCGGCTGCCACTACGCCGACGTCTTCAAGCTCGACGGCGACAAGGGCAATTCGTTCCTCGCGCGCAGCGCGAAGAACAACGCGACCTTCCTGCTGTTCGCGGCCGCCGCGTCCGGGGCCGCCGCCGCCGCCGGACGACCGCCGCCGCCGCAGGTTCGACAACGACGACCAGTTCCAGCGGAACTATTCGGAGCCCGCCATCGAGTTCCTGCAGCGCATCGGCTTCGACCCCGACGTGCTCCTCGTGGGCATGACGAACGCCCCCTACCAGGGCGACGTCGACGGCGAAGCGTCCAGGGGCGCGCGCCACGGCGTCAAGCTCGGCCGCTACCGCGCCGCGTTCCCGCGCGCGGCCCTCATCGACTTCCCGGAGAACGCCGTCGGCGTGTCGGGCTGCTCGGCCGAAGGCGCGGGCCTGTGCTCGGACGGCCAAGAGGGGCGGCGCGGCGCGGGCCACCAGTGCTCCCCGGGGCCGCTCGCGCGCGTCGCCGAGCAGGACGCGCTGGCCATCCTCGCGGCCCTCGAACAGCGAGCGCACGTCAACTCCGTCGCGAGCTCGCTCGCCATGGACCGCAACCAGGTCGAGCACATCGTCGAGTTCCTCTCCTCCGAAGGCCACTGGTCCATCGACGACGAGCACCGCACGCGTCGGGCGTCGCGTGATACGTTACGAGTCTAGTTCCGCCTCGACCGCCATGGCCGCGCGGTAGGCCGGGTGGCGCGGGTCGAGGTCCGCCATCGCCGCCGCGAGGATCTCGCGCGCGTCGTTTTTCCGCCCGCCGCGCCCCGCGAGCCGCGCGCGCTCCACGCGCGCCGCGAGCGTCCGCGGGTCCGCCGGGCCGAAGGCGCTTTCGAGGCCGGCCTCGGCCCGGCCCTGGAGCGCCTCGGCCTCCGCGAGGTCGCCGCCGTCGCCGAGCAGCCCGGAGAGCGCGGCGGCCGCGTGGTTCGTCGCGCCGTCGGCCCAGCCCCGCGTCGCCTCGAGGCCGTCGACGGCCGCGCGGTACTCGGCGAGGGCCTCGGCGTCGCGGCCCTGCGATCGCAGCGCGCGCGCGAGGAGCGACGTCGCGTGGAAGCCCTCCGCTGCCGGCTGCGCGGCGCGCGCGTCGCGGAAGAACGCCTCGGCGTCGCCGAACTTGCCCTGGAGCTGGCTGAGCTTCCCGAGGAAGGTCCACGCGTCGACGCGCGCCGCGACGTCGTCGGCGTCGAGCGCGTCGAGCGCGGCGCGCGCCAGCTCCTCGGCCTGGGGGACCTCGCCCTTGAGCTGCCGCGCCGTCGCCTCGAGGAGCAGGTGGCGCGAGCTCTGGGTCTCCGTCGCGAGTCGTCGCAGCGGGTGCGCGTGCACGTGCGCGAAGCGGCGCAGCAGCATGTGCATGCCTGCTTGCCCGCACTCTCACAAGCGCTGGGTGATGCAACACGTCTTCAAGGACTGGTTCAACTTACGGCCAAAGGGCGCTCAGTCGAGCGCGCATCCCCTTCAATAACTTGGTCAACTTACGCCTCGGCCGCGGCGAAGTCGCCGAGGCGGTACTTGTCGCGGTAGGCGGCGAAGATGGAGTCCGTCGTGCCCGCGTGGGCCGCCGGCGACGCCGCGTCGCCGCCGCCGGCCTGGAGCGACACGGAGAGGAGCGACCGGCGGTCCGCCGCGGTCGCGTTGCGCCCGCCGCGGTGGAAGAGGCGCGCGTCGAAGAGGATGCCCTCGCCCGGCTTGAGCGGGCAGATGGCCAGCTGCCGGCCGTCGCGGAGGCGCGCGAGGCGGTCCGCGTCGGAGAGCGCGTGGAAGTCCGCGCCGTGCGTGCCGGGCCAGACCGCCGTCGGCCCGTGCCTGTGTGCAAATCAAATCTTCAACCCGAATTCAATGGGCGCGTAATTGAACGGTTCGGACCAGACTCTTCAATTGTGCTTCGAGAACTTGACGAGAGCAATCGATTCGTCCAAAAATCAGCCGAATCGACTTCGATTTGATCGAGCTCGAGAGGTTTGAAGTTTTTGCTGGACAGGGCGTTCCAGTGGTTGATTTGCACACAGGCCCGCGCTCTTGAGAGACGGGCGTGAGCGCGACGAGGGCCGTGTAGAGCCGCGGCGCGTCGTCGCGGATGAAGCACGTGTCCGAATGCGGCGTCTGGAGCGGCGCGCCCGGGTCGCTGTGCACCGCCGAGAGCTGCGTGACGGGCGCGGCGGCGAGCCACGGCAGATCGGCCGCGAGGTCCGCGAGGACGGCCCGGAGCTTGGGCGTGAGCGCGGCCTTGACGTCGTAGCGGTTGTCCGGCGTGCGGATCGTGCCAAAGACGTCGAGGTCCGGCGCCGCGAGGCAGTGGTCGAGGACCGCGGACGTCTCGCGCGCGAGCTCCGCCGCGGCGCGCTCGCCGACGCGGACGACGGTGAACCCGTCGTCGCGGAGCTCGCGCCGCCGCCGCCGGCCGTCGGCGCCGTCGGCGTCGAAGGCGGCGGCGGCCCCGGGGCCGCGCTTCGCCGCGTAGTAGGCCGGGCGCCGGCCCGCGCCGTCGGCGACGCGCAGCGCGCCGTCGCCCGCGGCTCCGACCAGCGCGTCGACGTGGTCGACTCCACAGAGCGCGTCGCTGAGCGCGAGCGCGTGCGCGGGCGCCATGCCCTCCTCGTCGTCCGTCGCGAGGGCCGCGGCGGGCGCGAAGGCGGCGAGCGCCGCGACCGCGGCCGGCGGCGCGCCGGCGTTCGCGCAGAGGTAGTGGAGCGGCGTCCAGCCTGAGCAGGAAACAAAAATATTGAACTCGCCGAGAGAAAACGACTCGTCCAAAAATCAGCCGAATCGACATCGATTTGACCGAGATAGAGAGGTTTAAAGTTTTGCTGGACAGGGCCATTCCACTGGTTGTTTCCGGCACAGCGTCCAGCCCTCGGCGTCGCCCGCGAGGGCCCAGGCCGCCGCGTCTTCTAAAGCGAAGAGGCCCGCGAGGAGCGGCGCGCTCACGCACCGGTTCGAGCAGAGGCAGTGGAGCGGCGTGAGGCCTCGCGCGTCGCGGTCCGCCGGCGACCGCGCGGCCGCCGCGGCGAGCAGGTGCGGCGTCGCGCAGGCGCAGAGCGCCCAGTAGTGCAGGAGGGACCCGTAGTCGGCCGCCACGCGGTCGTCGCGGCCCGCGAGGCACGACGCGTGCGCGGCGGCGGTCGCGGCCGGGTTCCGGCAGAGCAGGTCGACCGGCGCGTCGCCGGAGATATCTTTCGCGAAGCGGTCCCCGGGCGTCGCCGCGAGGATCTCCACCGTGACCTGGTCGTGCGCGCAGGCGTGGTGCAGCGCGAGACGCCCCTGGTCGTCGGTGTAGGTCCCGCTGGCCGCGTCGCAGGCGGCGGCCTCGACGACCTTGGCCAGGCTGAGCGATTTGCCTGAGCACACGCGCAGGAGCATCTCGTCGCTCTCGACGTACTTCGCGCCCTGCGCGCCGACGACGGCCATGGGCGCCATTGAGCAAAAAGTAGACTATCCGATGGTCATACGCAGCCCCAGCCTTCAACTTCTGGCTGGTTGAACCATCTCATCGAGGGTTGCCTTTTGCGATCGATTTTGTGAGGCAGTCGATATGAGCATGCTGCGACCAGCCCTGCAGCGCCTGCAGCAATCCCGCTTCGTCAAGGCATACCTCCTCGCGCTCGAACGACGACCACTCACAACAAAGTGCACGACGTCGGGCCTGCTGATGGTCGGCGCGGACGCCACGCGCCAGCGGCTCGAGGACGCGGAGCAGCCCTACGACGCGCCGCGCACGGCGCGGCTGACGGCCTTCGCCATTTTGATCCACGCGCCGTTCTTGCACGCGTACCACCCGATCGCCGAGCGCCTCTGGGCGCGCTACGACATCCGGCACACCGTCGTCAAGGTCGGGCTCGACCAGGCCTTCAGCGCGCCCGTCTTCCTGTCCATCTTTTTGTCGTTCACGGCGCTCGCCGAGGGCCTCGGCGCGTCCGGCGCGCGCGCGCGCGTCGAGCAGCAGCTGCCGCTGCTCTGGCGGGACTCGCTGTGCTGCTGGGGCCCCGCGCACCTCGTCACGTTCAACCTACCCATCCCCGTTCGGGTGCTCTGGCAGGACGTCGTGCGCCTCTACTTCGGGACCATCATGTCCCTGCGCGGGACGGCGCGCATCCGGGAGGACCCCTAGGTAAGTTTAGGCGAGGACGTTGGCGACGAGGAACGGGAAGACGCAGAAGGGCGCGACGCGGAGCGCGACGAAGAGCACGGCCAGGTCCGCGGACACGACCGTCGCGCTCAGGGCGATCTGGGCCGCGTCGCCCTCGGCGAAGAAGGACCGGCGCGCCTCGTAGCGGAAGCCGCGCGCGCCGTAGAGCGCCGTGAGCGCCGCGGACGCCGCGGCCGTCGCGGCGGCCGCGGACGCGGCCGCGCGCGGGAGCGAGAAGCCCGCGGCCTTGAGGAAGGCCTCCTGGGACGTCGAGTGGACCCAGGCGCGGCGCAGCGCGCCCCAGCCCGCCGCGAAGGCCAGCGGCGCGGGCGCGAACGCGTCGAGCGCGCGCGACAGCGCGAGCGCGCGGCGCGCGTCGAGCCCCGCGGCGACGCCCAGCTCCGGCGGCGGCGCGTCGAGCGCCGCGGCCTCCGCGGAATCGCCGCCGAGCGCGCGGTACAAGGCGAAGTTCGCGTGGAGCGCGACGTCCGCGTCCTCGGCCCACGCCAAATCCGCGAGCAGCGGGAGCGCGCCGGGCCGGCCCCGGAGCGCCGCCGCGCCTTTCGGCGCGTCGGCGACGTGGTGCGCGACGAGGAGCGCCGACGCCTCGAGCTCGGCGATCATGTCGCGGAGCACGGACTCGTGGAGGTCCGCCGCCCAGGAGCCGAGCCGCGACGGCGGCGGCGCGTCGCGGCCCCTGGGCGCCCCCCGCACACGCGCCGGCGCCGCCGCCGCGGCGTCCGTGGCCTCGCGCGCGTCCCGGAGCGACTCCAGCAGCACGAAGAGCGCGTCCGCGAGCCGTGGTGCTAAATCATCGTCAGACGCGAGCACGCCGGCCGCGTCGCGCGTCAAATTCCCCAGGGACACGAGCACGGCGACGCGCCGCGCGTAGAGGTCCGCCCAGTGCTCCGCGGCGTCCAGCGCCTCGGGCGTCGCCGCGCGCGACGGGCTCGCGGGCGGGTCCGCGACGCGCTCGAGCTCGTCGACGAGCGTCGCGACGGCGCACGTCGACGCCGCGACGCGCCGCGCGAGCTCGTCGTCGTGCGTCAGCGCCGCCAGCGCGCCGGCCGACGCCGACCGTACGTCCTCGACGGCCGACGCCAGGCCCGCCACCGCGCACCGCTCCGCGCCGAACGCCGCGACGAGTTTCGGCGCGACGTCGGCGCCGACGCCCATCGCGGACCACTCGAGCCAGCCCAGCAGCTCGTCCAGACCCTCGAGCTGGCGCGCCGCGCCCCAGGCGTCCGTCCGGCACTTGTAGCACGCCTCCGACGCGTCGAGCGTCACCAAATAGTAGCTCGACGCCGCGAGGCCCACGCCGGCGTAGACCGCCGACGCCGACCAGACGAGCGGGACCTTGTCGACCATCTTCTTGAAGCCGCCGCCGGGGAAGTTCGTCGTGATGGGCCTCTGACAGAGCGGCGGCCGCCTGACGCGGCGCATGGATCGCCCCAACATCGCGCTTCGGAGCGGCACCATCGGTTCAGCGAAGCGCTGCCACAGCATCAGCAGCTCGCGTACTCGTGGCAGCGCGTGATGATGGGCTCTCGCAGGCTGGCTTGCGCCGTATTCGTCGTCGCCACGGCGACGGCGCTGCAGGCGCCGCGACGCGTCGCGCTCGCTCCCGCTGCCTCGTCGGCGCCGGCGCGACGCTTGACGCTCGCTGCCTCGTCGGCGCCCACGAGACGCCAGACCACCCTGCGCGCCGGCGACGACGACGACATCGATTTCGACGCCGCCTTCCGGGCGCGGCTCGAGGAGGACGACGTCGTCCCGCTGCCGCTGCCCGAAACCGTCGAGGAAGCGCTGGATTACGCCAAAATGGTGATCCTCGGCGGGCAGGGCGTCGCCGCCGCGGTCGCGGCGATCGTCGGCTCGCTGTCGCTGCTCTCCGCTGGCGCGCGCCCGCGTCATGGAAACCGCGCCGGGGCACCGTTGACCCGCGCCGCGCGCCCGCGACACCACCGTTCGCCAGGTATCTACCTCTCGGGCGCCAAGGACGGCCTGAAGGGCAGCGAGCGCGCGCTGCAGCCCATCGTCGAAGTCGACACGGCCAAGGTCTGCATCACGTGCAAGGGCAACGACGAGCGGTCGGTCAAGGCCCTCCAGTTCTCCGCCGACGAGCTCGCCAAGCAGCGCTTCGAGAACGGACGCGGGGGAGACCCGAGTCTGGACTAGGGCAGGATGTCATAACCAGTGAAATAGCCAGTATGGTGCGCTCGGGTCCCCAGGTCGTCGTAGGAGGCGGCGGAGCGGCGCGCGCGGTCCGCGGCGCTCGAGGGCTGGCGTCGCGCGCTGGCGCGGCTATCTCGCGGCTCGACCTCGGCCGCCGTCGGATCGACGCTCTCGCCGCCGGGCGCCGTCGAGCGCTGCTGCACCCCGCCGCGCGCCGTCGGGTGCTATTCGCACCGCCGCCGCGCTTGCACCATGCTCGCCACCACGCTCGAGGTCGGCGACGAGAAGACGGCGGCGCTGCACGTCGCGTCCTACGAGACGTTCCACCGCTGGGTCGAGGGCGGCGCGCTCGAGAGCGTGCGCTGCGAGCTGAGCGCGACGCTCTTCCCCGTCTTCGCGCAGTGCTTCCTCGTCGTCGTCGCGACGGAGGCCGAGGCGTCGGGCGAGGACGGCGGCGAGCCCGCGTCGCGCGCGTTTCTCGAGCGGTGGGGCGCGTCGCACGCGGACCGCTTCGCCGCCGAGGTCGAGGCGCTGCGGCTCGTGACGAGCCCCGTCGTCGCGGCGAAGGACGCCTACTGCGCGCGGCTCCGCGGCGGCCGCTGGGTCGTGCCGCTGAGCGGCGCCGCGCAGGCGCTGCTGGGCGACTTCCTCACGTCGACGGGCAACGCCGCGGTGCTCAAGGTCTTCAACGAGAAGGTAACTTTAGACGGCACGGCGCCGGGCCGCGGCGAGGCCGCGGCGCTCGTGGAGACGAGCGGCGACGAGGTCGAGGCCGCGGCGGCCGCGCGCGCGGGCGCGGCGCCGCCGCCCGCGCGGCTCGGCGTGCTCCTCGGCAGCGAGGCGCTCGACGGCGGCGCGCCCGCGGGCCGCGCGCCGGCGCCGGACTGGGACGACGACTACGGGCGGGGCCTCCTGCGCGACGGGTCGCGGCGCCCCCTCGCGCCGCCGCCGCCCGCGGGCCTCGTGGGCAGAGGCCGCGCGCCGCTCGACGCGCTCAAGCCGACGGTGCTCGACGCGCGCGTCGCGGGCGCGGACGCGGCGCGCCTGAGCTGCTGCGCGGCGTCGCGCGACGCGACGCGGCTGGCCGGCGGCTTCGCCGACGCGTCCCTGCGGCTCTGGCGCGTCGACGAGCTCGCGGGCGACGACGCGGGCTCCTCGGACGCGGAGGCCGCGACGACCGCGCTCGTCGCGCACGACCGGCCCGTCTACGCGCTGGCCTGGAGCTCCGAGAGCCGCTACCTGCTCTCCGGCGGCGGCGACGGGTGCTGCGTGCTCTGGGACGCCGACGCGCCCGGCCGCGGCGGGCCGGGCGCGTCGGGCGCGCCGCTCTGCTCCTACGCGGCGCACGTCGCGCCGTGCTGGTCCGTGGCCTGGTGCGCGGCGTCCGGGGGCCACGTCTTCGCCACGGGCGGCGGCGACCGCACGGCGCGCCTCTTCGCCACGGACCGCGCGGACCCGCTCCGGGTCTTCGCGGGCCACTGGGCCGACGTGAGCGCCGTCTGCTTCCACGCGAACGCGCACTACGTCCTCTCCGCGTCCCACGACAAGACGTGCCGGCTCTGGGACGTGCGCGCGGCCGGCGGGCCGGGCCGCCGCTGCGCGCGCGTGCTCGACGGGGCCGCGGGCGCGCTCGCGGCCTGCGACGCGTGCCCGTCGGGGCGGAAAGCGGCCGCCGCGGGGCTCGACGGCGGCCTCCACCTCTGGGACCTCGACAGCGGCCGCAAGCTCAGCTCGACGAAGGCGCACCGGGGGCCGGCCTACGTCGCCAAGTTCTCCGCGGACGGCGCCGCCGTCGCGACGAGCGGCCGCGACCGGAGCCTGAAAGTGTGGGACGCGGCCGCGCTCGCGGCGGCCGCGGGCGACGACGTCGCGCCGGCCCACGCCGTCGAGACCACGGACTCGCCCGTCTTCGACGTCGCCTGGACGCCGGGCAACCTCTGCCTCGCGTCCGGGCCCCTCCTCGCCTGACCCTCGAGGGGTGCACGTAAGGGATGCCATCGGCATCGCTTAGCATATCCCGCCGGCGGGATATGTTAAACGCCGCTTCAACTTGGACTCCGTGACATTAGAAGCCTTCTCCCCCTCTACTGCTCACTCCGCCTTGATGTCGCGCCACTCGATGTAGTTCGCGTGGCCCGCCTCGTCGCGAAGCGCCTCGACCGACTTGAGACCGAGCTGGAGCTCGGAGACGTGCGCTTCGAGGCCGTGGCTGAACGTGAAGGCGTCGACGACGATGACCGACAGATTGATGTTCCTGTATCCCGCGGATTCCTTGGAGTCGAACGCCGTCGTCAACGAATTTTTGCTGCCGACGACGACGAGCGGCGAGTCACGGAGCGCCTCGACGAAGGCGATCATGTCGTCGAGCGTGTCGAATTTGCAGATGGTGCGCACGAGGTCCACGAGGCGGGACGCGTCTCCCCTGTAGCTCCGGTAGAGTTTCTCGATCGCGCGCGCCCGACTCTTGATGGCGCCGACGCGGTGCTCGCCGCGTCCGACCCGCGCCGCGACGAGTCCCTGGAAGTGCTGATTCAGCGCGGCGGCCTGCGCCAACAACACGGGGAGGTCGTCGACGACCTGCATGGGCTTGCGGCTGCCCGTGATCTTGCGCACGTATCCGAGCTTCTCCAACGCTTTCGCCCGCAGCGTCTTGGGCTCGAGGGAGGGCCGTCGGCCGTTGACAGGCGGTCGCGCCAGAAGAGGGGTCGCTTCCCACGCGACCGCCCCCGCGACGGCGGTCTCGAGATCGTCGAGCTTGGCGACGAACTCGTGCCCGCGGGTCAGTCGTTTCCAAAGCTCGTCGTACCGCGAGCGGTCGGCGGCCACCACCTGGTCGGCGTCGCGCTCATTTTTTCGTCGTCGATATTCCAGATAGATCCCGAGAGCTGCGGCAATAATTGCAAAAAACGCCCAAAAAATAATTCTCATCAAAGTTTGTTTTCGGCAATGTTCCAACGACGCAGTTGCTCCGAAACCCAACGCCCAAAAAGCACAAGCAAATTTGAGCCTTGACGTCGCCGCGGAGTACCGCATCGCATAGGCCTCGACTGCGGCCGCGACCAAGAAGCCATTCGTGGCGAACATCAGCGTGGATGAAGCTTGTTGCTGAACGCGGCAGTCGGGCGGGATAATGAACCACATGACAGAAGTGGCCATTGTAGTGGCACCATACACAATGCCAATGACGATGAACACGTGGCGCGCGGCGCGGCGGCGCCGGAGGGTCAAAAAGTACCTGCGGCGGCGGCGCGTCGACGACCGCGGCGTCGTGATGGTTCCGCGCGGGCTTTCATACTGTCGGCACAGTAGAAGAATGCCACAGACCAAACCTTTGGTGCCGTCTAAGGCGCGTGCAGCATAGAGGCCCCGAGGGAGGTGCTCGCCGCGGGAAGAGAGGCTGACGACAAAGTTCCAATATATAGCCAACAGAATTGCTACAATCCCAAGCAACGTCAATCCCACCGTCACCATGCGGCTCTCGCCCCCGAAGTATCCCGCGTGCAGCGTCACCGCCTCGGCGTACTCCATGCCGCGCCGCATCATGGCTCGCACCTCATCGATGCGCGCCGCGCGCAGGTCCAGCGTCGGTTCCTTGAACTTGCACGCTGGCGGGGGGACGAGGCCGCCGGTCTCGACGTCTTCGTCCGGCAGCGCTACCTCCGCGACGGGGACGATTTCAATCTTGCGCATGCTCATGTTTCTAGCGGTAGCGCTCCGCGGCGCCGCGTCCGCCCAGGGCTGCAGCGGCCGGCAGCATGAGGAATGCCGTCTGCCAGCGGCACCGAGACGGCCGCATCTACTGATCCACCACGGCCGACGGCGACCTCTATGGCGCTCTCCGCTCGCCTCTTCCGGCTCGCAGTGGCTCCGGCCGCCCGGCGCCCGATGGTGTCGCCGAACCCCTGCGCCGCGCGCCTGTCGCGCCCCTTTTCTTCGGGCGGCGGCGACGCGCCGACGCCGCCCGGCGGCGACGCGCCCCCCGGTGCGGCGGCGGCCTCGGCCCCGCCCGCGGGCGGGCGGGGCGGCCGCGGCGGCGGCCGCGGCGGCGACCGGAGCCCCCCGGCGGGCCGCGGCGGCGGCCGGGGCCGGGGGCGGGGCATGCCGGACCGGTTCTCGAACCGCGGCGGCCGCCCGGCGCTCCGGACGGCGGTGCTCCAGGGCCTCGAGCGCGAGACCCTCCTGGGCGACGTGCAGATGAACCCCGCGGAACCGCCGCCCCGCGCCGACGACGGCGACCGCGGCGGAAAAGCGGACGGCTCCTCGGCGCTCGGCGCGGGCTGGGACGACGCGGCGCCGGAGGACGACGGCGACGCGCCCGTGGACATGACCTACCTGCTCCGGCGCCGGCGCCAGGGCTCCATCGTGTCGCCCGACGAGTACGACTTCGTCGCCCACCGCCACGACCGCGAGCGGCCCCACGAGTTGCACGCGCGCCTCGACGGCCACCGCGGCGACCGGCCGCGCTGCGACAAGAAGGCGGGCTTCCACATCGTCCAGGCCGAGCACATCTTCGCGGGCAACCTGCCGGCGCTCGCCGAGTTCGTCTCCGACGCGGGCATGATCCAGAAGCGAGACCAGAGCCGCCTCTGCGCCAAGTACCAGCGCAAGGTCAAGCGCGCCATCAAGCGCGCGCGCCAGCTCGGCCTCGTGCCCTTCGACGCGGGCTTCGACACGCGCAACGACATCGGCTTCCCGGACGCCGCGCACAAGGCCGCGGTCTCGAAGACCATCTAGGGCGCGTTTTTAAAAGCAGCGCTCGCTTCCTGGGCGTGCCACGTCGTCGTTGCCCGTCGGCGCGCAGAGGCCTCGGGCGACGTCGGTCGCGACGGTCGCTAGAGCCCGCCCTCCACTCCCCGCGCCGCCGCCGCCGCGCCGGTCGCAAACTTAGGGCGCGAATTGCGGTCAGCGCGCGCTGCGCTCACTCCTCGAGCGACGCGAGGCGCAGGTACACCAGCAGCGGCAGGCCGCCGATGATGGACACGGCGAAGAAGAGGGCGAAAAGGCCGGAGTCGATGAAACCGCCGATCTCGCCCTCCGTGGGAGCGACGAGCGTCGGGAGGTCCGCGACGGACCTGCGCGGCGCGGCGCGGTGAGCGCGCGGGGCGACGGCACGCGCGGCGCGACGGGGTCGGGCGACGGCACGCGCGGCGCGGCGGGGTCGGAACAACGCGTGGACTCTTTTAGGCCGCGGCGTTTTTCGAGCCGGGACACGGACAACGCGCAGCGTGGAGATGGCCGAGGCGACCTCGGGGACGGCGCGCATGCTCACGGAGCTCGCCACCTTCGACACCGGCGCGACGAAGGCCGTGGCGCTGGCCAGCATGCAGGCAAGAATGGCCTTGATCATCGTGTCGATTTGCTGTGACGCGCTTCAAGTTATGGGATCGCGAGATAGTTGACGTCGAAAGTGCAGCTACTTACCGGGCTACAGCCTAAATCCAGAGACCTGTGCGCTCGGCTTTCCGACGTCTTAACAAGCGCTCGCCGGCTCGCTGCCTCGCGGGACTCCGGTCCGACACCGCGCGCCTCGCGCCGCGGCTCGCGGTTCGCGCCGCGCCGCGGAGCTGCCGCGAAGTGGTCGCGCCGCGCTAAATCACACGACGACACTCCTATCCCACGAGCCGTATGGCATGCTCAACATCCGGCTGCGGAGAATACGATAAGGAAACGTCTCGCCGGCGCGGGCGGCGGGTGGAGCCTGGGTGGGCAACGCCTTGGGCAGGGCCTCCTCTCAATGTTTGGCACGCGACGCCGCGGCACGACACCCTGCCAGCGCAGTGGAGAGCCGCACTCGACGCTCACGCCTTGCGACGCGCAGGAGTCCTTCAGCTCCCAGCGCGGCGTCGCGGGGTCCCCTCGCGACGCCGTCGCTGCGCACCACCCCGGAAGGCGAAACAGAACGCGCGCGCGGTCGGCCATGGCCCGCCTCTGCGCCATGATCGCCTGCCTCGCGGTGCCCGCCTGCGTCGGGCTCGTGCAGCCGCCGACGCACGCGCAACCCACGCCGCCGGCGCGCGCACAGACAGACGACGCGCGCGCGCGACCGCGGCGGCCGCTGTCCGCCGCCGCCGCGCGGCGCCTCGGCGCGAACGTTTTGGGCGGCCTCGCCATCTGCGCGAACGTCGCCGCGCCCGTCGCCAACGCCGCCAAGGTGAGCGAGTTCGACTACGCCGTCAACGGCCGCGTCTACGGCATCGAGGAGGACGCGCCCTTCCGCAAGGCCCTGGGGCAGATCCGCGGCCTCCTCGACGACCTCGGCGTCGAGGGCGCGGTCACGCCCCAGCGCGCGACGATCCCCGACGGCCCCGTCATCGCGCGGCCCTACGAGGTGGGCCTCGCCCCGGGCACGGACCGCCTGCGCCGGTGCCCCGACGGCGCGACGTGCCTGAGCAGCACGCGCGTCGAGTCCGCGTCGTCCGCGGTGCCCCACTTCGTCTTCTTCGACCAGAAGGGCGACGCCGTGGGCAACCTCCTGGAACTCATCTACTCCGCCGCCGACGCCGACGTGCTCGTCGCCAAGGGCAACTTCTTCAACGGCGCGGGCGTCTACGTGCTCGTCGAGCTCAACGACGCGAACGATCGGGGGTCGACGGTCCACGACGTCGAGTTCCAGTTCCTGCCCGGCGTCCTCGAGAACGTCGTCGACGTGCGCATCGTCGCCCGCGAGGGCAAGCAGTTCACGACGCCCCAGCGCCAGAAGGAGCTGCTCAACGCGGTCGCGCGCGGCGTCGGCTGGGTGCCGCTCGACAAGGGGAACCTGAACATGAACGTCTTCAGCGACGAGGAGAAGGGCATCATCGCCACGTCGGCCCTCGAGATCAAGTACCGCGAGCAGTTCGAGGCCGAGATGGAGAAGGCCGACGCGGAGCTCGGGGTCCAGATGGAGAAGGAGCGGAAGCGCATCGAGTCGCTGAAGAAGGAGGTCGAGAAGCTCCTCGACGAGCTGAGCCGCCAGGAGGACGCGCGCGCCCAGGAGTACCGCGACCTGCGGTCGCGGTCCGCGACGGCGCGCGCCGAGTACGACGAGGGCGTCAACAAGCGCATCGGCGGCGTCGCGAACGACGGCCGCTACGCGGCGTCCCAGTCCATCCGCCTCGGCAACTCCTTCGCGGGCCTCATCAACTCCAAGGACGACGTCACGGCCAAAATCTACGACAACGTCCAGCAGGACGACGAGGACGCGCCCGTGAAGAAGAACCTCTTCGGCAAGGCCATCGACACGGGCAAGAAGAAGGGGCTCCAGGGCCGCGAGATTCGGCGGTGAGGCGCCCGCCGGCGCCCGGGGCGCGGCGGCGGCGCCCCGCGCGTGGTTTAACAACATATAGGAAATGAGCCGTAGTGGATTATAATTGCCCAACGCATATATCATAAACGATGCGAGCCATTCGTTTTAAAGTTTGCATCTTCTTCAATATTAACTGTGCGCTCACAGCCAATCATATCCCAAAGTTCATCGAGCTCAGTGAAGTTTATTCCGTCAAGGGTTAGTTTTGCTTATGCGTGACGTACCGATCGAGTCCAATGTCCGCGCGTTGCAGGGCACCTTGAGCCTTGGGGCAGCCATCGATGGTGGTCGTGGACGCCGTTTAGGAGATGGAGATCCCGTCGCCGACGCACTCCGTCGTCGCCGCCGCGATGGAGATCCCGTCGCCGACGCACTCCGAGGGCGACCCGTCGAGCATGCCGTCGACGCGCCTCCGGGAGAAGGTCGCCAGCCTGTCGAGCCAGTGCGCGACGCTGCGCGCGACGCTCGAGGAGCGCGAGGCGTCGGCCGCGGAGCGGCTGGCGCCGCGGGAGGCCGAGCTCCTGACGCGGCGCGCGGCCGCGGACTGCCTGCGGCGCGACGTCGCGGACCTCCGCGCGACGCTGGCCGCGCTCGACGCCGAGGCCGAGAGCCCGCCGCGCGCGCGGCCGCCGCCGCCGCCGCCGCGCCGCGAGAGCCCGCCGCGCCGCGAGAGCCCGCCGCGCCGCGAGAGCCCTACGCGCGCGCGGCCGCCGCCGCCGCCGCCGCGCCGCGACGACGAGACGCCGCGGCGGCCGAGCCCGCGGCGGTCGAGCCCGCGGCGGACGCCCGCGCGGTACCCGGACGCGCGGCGCGCGGCGCCGCGGCGCCGGCCCTGGGGCGCCGCCGGCGCCAAGTCGCCCCTCCTCGCGGACAAGTCCAAGGGCGTCGCCGCGCGGCGCCGCGCGAGCCAACCGCCCGCGGTGTCGCAGAGGTGGCGCGACGACGACGACGCGGACCTCTTCTAACCGCCCATATTACACCGGGTTCTCCTTGCCCTCGGACTCGCCCATCTCGCGAATCAACACCGCGCAGGCCGACGGCGGCAGGAGGCCGTGCTCGGAGACGATCGCGGAGACGAAGGTCGCGGGCGTGACGTCGTACTTGAGGTGGCGCGCCCTCGCCCGGGGCTTGTCGCCGTCCGCGGGCGCCTTGCCTTTCGGGTCGAGGTCCACGAGCTCGTTGGACGCGACGGAGTCGAGCTGGACGCGGTCGTGGAACTTGTAGGCCTCGCAGCACACGAGCACGGGCACGTTCTGCGCGGACGCGAGCATCGCGACGCCCGCGGTGCCCGCGGCCGCGAGCACCGCGCCGTTGCTGAAGAGCGCGTCGGCGCCGAGCACGACCTTGGTCGCGTGCTTGAGGTGGAGCGGCGCCGCGTGGAGCAGGCAGTACGCGCAGTCCAAACCCGCGGCGTTGAGCCGCCGCAGCAAGACGCGCCCCTCGAGCGCCGGCGCCGCGTCGACGACGACGACGCGCAGCGTCGTGCCCGCGGCCTTGGCCGCGTAGAGCGCCGACTCGACGGCGTCGGCGCGGCCGAAGGTCACGACGACGTCGCCGTCGCGGAGCTTCTCGCTCGCCAATTTCGCGATGACCTCGTTCGCGAGCACGATGCGCTCCCGCGCGTACGCGTCGATCTCGTCCCGGAGCGCCGCCTTGGCGTCCTCCGCGGACATCTCCGGGTCCAGGGTGGCGATGCAGCGCCGCAGCTTCCGCACCGCCGCGCCCATGGACGCGCTCAGAGGCCGGCGGTCGATCAAATGTTGGATCTGCGGCTTCAATTTCTTGTCGAGGTCGCGGTTCACCGTCGTGTTGGGCGCCAGCTGGTAGTCGCCGACGAACTCCTTGAAGGCCGCGAGCATGGCGACGCAGCGCTCGTTGGCGCCGTCGTGGAGCCCGGCCGCGTAGCGGAGCCCGAGCGCCTCGACGGCGGCGTGCGCGTTCGACGGCGGCTTCTTCTTCGACGTCGCCTCGAGGTGCGCGAGCACGCCCGTGTGCTTCGGCGCGGCGGGTTTCGGGGTGTCCTTCGCGGGGGGCTCCTTGCCGCCGCCGCCCTTGGGCGCCGCGGCCCCCGGGGCCTTCTTCGCGTCGCCGCCCTTCTTCGCCTCGGGCGCGTCGCCCTTGGCCGCGGCCTTGGCCGCGCGCTGCTTCTCCTGCAGCTCGCGCCGCTCGGCCTTCGTGAGCTGCTTCTTCTTCTCGTAGCCCTCGGGCGGGCCCGTCTGCGGCTTGCGCTCCTTCTTCTCCTTCTTTTGCGGCGCGGCGGCGGCCTCGGCCGGCGGCGGCGTCTCCGACGGCGCGGTCATGTGTTTTTTTTTACAGGGATGTGTGTGTGTTGGAGCTGCGCTGTGCTGCGCTCGTCGTGAGCTCACGGCGCCCACTAGCACTCGCGCGCGAGGGCGGGAGAGCTCGAGCGAGCGGCGGCCTCAAGGTCTCTGCCACAAGCCGGTGTTGGCGAGCCAGATCCCCAGCTCGCTGACGCCGACGAAGCTCGCGTGCTCGCACACCATGGCCAAGCTCGTCGCCGCCCTCGCGCTCTTCGTCGCCGTGGATGGCTTCATGGCGCCGCGCGCCCCCGCGGCTTCCACGAAGCTCGCGGCCATCTCGACGGAGTCGATGATCGAGAAGGCCAAGGCCGACCGCCTCGCCCACCTCGAGGCCCAGTCCCTCGAGGCCCTGACGCTCGCGGCGGAGAACTACGAGAAGGCCGTGTTCCCGAACGCGATGATCGTCGGCGACTGCGTCATCACGCACCTCCTCGGCAAGCTCGGCTACCTCGAGAGCGGCAAGGTGAAGATCATGGTCGTCGACACGTACCACCTCTTCGACTCGACGATGCCCTTCCTCGAGTCCCTCGAGGCCAAGTACAAGTTCAAGGCCGAGATCTTCGGCCCCGCGGACTGCGAGGACAAGGACGTCTACCTCAAGAAGTTCGGCGACAAGCTCTGGGTCGCGGACGTCGAGCAGTACGACAAGGTCTGCAAGGTCGAGCCGTTCCAGCGCGGCCTCAAGACGCTCGAGACGGACGTCATGATCAACGGCCGCCGCCGCGACCACGGCGCCGAGCGCGCCTACATCGACATCGCCGAGGTCGCGCCCATCGGCGGCGGCCTCGCGAAGCTCAACCCGCTCGCGTACTGGACGCTCGAGGACTGCTTCGACTACGCGGCCGCCAACGGCGTGCCCCTCCACCCCACCGTGGCCCTCGGCTACCCGAGCCAGGGCGACTACAAGGACACGGTGCCCGTGCCGGACCCCGACGGGCTCTCGGGCTTCCAGGGCGACGCGGGCTCCGTGAAGTGGGTCGACGGCGTCTGGACGGGCGACAAGGCCATCTGGCTCGACTACGGCAACGAGCGCAAGGGCCGCTTCGTCGGCCTCGTCAACAAGGACGGCTCCGCGAAGACGGAGTGCGGCATCCACGTCGCCGGCGCGGAGCAGACCTTCGACCGCGACCTCTGGGAGTCCGGCGCCGTCTCGAATTTGGAGACGCAGGAGTCGGCGCTCGCGCTCAAGGACGGCGTCGTCGTCGTCTACGCGCCCTGGTGCCAGTTCTGCCAGGCCATGGAGGACGACTACGCCACATTCGCCGACGAGATGGCCAAGGAGGGCATCACCGTCGCCAAGTACCGCGGCGACGAGGACCGCGAGTTCGTCACGGCCAACTTCAACACGGAGTCCTTCCCGACGATCAACCTCGTCAAGGACGGCGTCGCCACGAAGTACGACTCCGAGGCCCGCGACGTCGAGTCCCTCAAGAAATTCGCCATGTCCGGCTAGAGCCCCCCCCGGCGCCCCCGACCTCCGCGGCCGCGCGGACGTCCGACCCCCTGTCCGTCCTCCTCCTAAGGAGCACCGATGTTCATACGCCCCGACCCCCGCCGGAGGCGCACCGCTATTTATCGCGACGAGGGCACCGCGGCCGGCGGCGCGGTGAGGTCCGCGATGGCGCCGAAGGTCCGCGCGACCTGCTTCTCCGCGAGCTTGCTCGCGAGCTTGGCGCCGAAGTCCGCCAGGTCCGCGCGCCGCTCCGCGACGATGGGCGACAGCGCCGCGAGCTGGCGGACGACGTTCGCCGACGCGCTCCGCGGCGCGAGCGCCGCGAGGTCCGTGGTCTCGCCGCGCCGCAGCAGGAAGTCGAGGAGCTTGCGCGCGTTCTCGAGGGACGTCTCGTCGTCGGCGTCGAGCTTCGGGTTGAGCTTCGCGAGGGCCGCGTTGACGCGCGGCGACGCGAGCGGCACGCGCGGGAGCCGCGGCGCGACGGTCCGCGCGCCCGCGTCGATGGACGCCGCGAGCTCCTCGAGCAGGAACTCGCGGAAGACGGCGCCGTCCTCCTCGAAGAAGAAGGCCAGGGCCGCGCGCGCGCCGTCCTCGATGTCCTCGGGCGCGTCGACCCTGGCCAGCGGCGCGTCGCCGTCGAGCCGCACGAGCCCCGTCGGCCGCTCCGCGCCTTCCACCAAATCCGGCGTCGCCGCGAGCTGCATGGCGCGCTTCACGTCCTCCGACGCCTCGCCGGCGGCGAGGGCCTTGACCGCCGCGAACTTCTCCAGGGCCTGGAGCATGTCGATCATGCGGTCGACGTCGAAGCGCTTGTTCTTGCCGTAGACCATGTAGCGCAAGGCCTCCTTCACCGCGGGCTCTGGTCCGTCAGCAGGCGCCGCGAGATGTAGGGGTAGGCCTCGTCGACGATGGCGAAGCCCGGGTTCCCCACGAGGGCGATGCCCTCGAGCACGCCGATCGCGCGGATCACCAAAGCGAAGTAGGGCGGGATGCGGAACGGGAACGAGAACGTGATCTCCGCGAGGTCCGCGGAGAGGTCGTTGAAGTTGATGCCCTTGGCGCCGCCGCCGGCGAGCGCCGCGTCGAAGACGCGCGCGAGCGCCGGGACGATGGGCTTGACGTCCGTGCCCGGCGGGATGAAGCCCAGCTGCACGAAGTCGTCGCCGATGCGGTCGTAGTCGCGGTGGATCAGGTGCGCGATGGCCTCGATCATGCCGTACTTCTGGTCGTCCGTGATCTCCGTCATGAGCCCAAAGTCCAGGATCACCAGGCGGCCGTCGGGCGCGCGGAGCATGTTGCCGGGGTGCGGGTCCGCGTGGAAGAAGCCGCTGTCCAATAGCTGCGTCAGGTACGTCACGACGCCCAGGTTCACGAGGTCGGCGACGTCGTCGGCCGTCGACTGGCTCAGCTTCTCGCCCTCGACCCACTCGGCGACGTGCACGCGGCGCGTCGTCCACCGCGGGTAGTTTTTCGGTATCAACACGCGCGGCAGGTTCTTCATCTCCTCGCGGACGCGGATGCCGTTCTCGCACTCCACGACGTAGTCCAACTCCCCGTAGAAGCGGCAGGCGAACTCGTCGATGAGGTCGACGACGTCGATGCGCTCCGTGACGAAGTCCGGCAACTTCCGGACGAGCTTCCCGAGCTCGCGCGCCAGGTGCAGGTCGAGGCTCACCGTCTCCAAAACGAAGGGCCGCTGCACCTTCACGGCGACGATATCGCCCGAGTCCTTGAGCGTGGCGCGGTAGACCTGGCCCAGGGACGCCGCGGCGACGGGCTCGGGCGTGATCTCGCTGAAGACGTCCGAGACTTCGTCGACGCCGAGCTCCTCGCAGATCGTCGCGAACGCGAGGTCGCTCGGGAAGCTCGGCACCTTGTCGCAGAGCTGCTGGAGCTCGACCATGGCCCGCGGGCTCAGGATGTCCGGCCGGATGCTGAGGGCCTGGCCCAGCTTGATGAAGAAGGGGCCGAGGCTCACGATCGTGTTCCGGAGCGCCGCCGCGCGCCTCACCTCGCTCTCCTCGAGCTTCCCCCGCGCCGCGTCCCAGGCCACGGCGCTCAGGTACCCGAAGGACGTGCCGAAGACCTGGAAGAGGCGCCTCGCGACGGCGCCGGGCCGCTCGCCGAAGTACGCCGCGAGCGTCTCGGGCTCGTACGTCGTCGGCAGGCCCCGCTCGCCCGCGCGCATCTCGACGACCTGCATGCGCACGCCGTCGAGCTGGCGGTCGTCGTCGTTCATGTTCGACCCGCGCATGGCCTGCATCATCAGCGACGCGCGCTCGTCCTCCTCGAGCTGGGCCCGCACGTCGGCCATCGTGGCGGAGATGTCGCTCACCGGGCTCGAGCGCAGCGGCGCCGGCGCGCGCGAGCGCGCGGCCCCGGGCACGCGCGCGCGCGGGCCCGCGAGCAGGGCGCTGGCGGTGCCGAGGAGGCTCAGGAGGGCGATCATCGAGGCTGCGAAGAGGCTGCGCATCGTCACCGCGCTTCGGGCACCGCTGCTGCGCTGGTCAGTCGGGGCACGAGCGCTTCGGACGGCCGGACGTCGACGCCGCGGCCGCCGCAATCGCTTGAGGCCTCGCGCCTCGACGCCTAAAGGAACGTTACGGTGACGCGGTAGAGGCGGCGGTTCGGCGTCGCGCCGAAGGCCGTCCAGGTGCCTGGCTCGTCGATGCCGACGAGCGTGATCGTCGCGAGCGGAGGCAGGTCGTACTGGCTCTCAAACTCCGTCTCCGCCGTGCGCACGAGGCTGTGATAGCCGCCGCCGTCGGGAACCTTGCTTTCGAAGCAGATGATGTCGCTGTCCTGGAGCTCGTAGGTGACATGGCCACCGTCGAAGTCGATGACGGGCGCGCAGAAGCCAGCGTTGTGGAGGCAGAGGTCGCTGGCCGACGCCTCCAGCGGCACGTTCGTGACGAACGTCGTTCCCACGACCGCGTCGGGCCCGAGTGCGCCCCACGCCGCGTCGAAGGAACTCAATCCAAACTCGCCGTCGACGTTGACGAAGGATAGCGGCGCGACGCCCTCCAACGCCGCGCGGCCCTGGATAGCGCCGTAGAGCGTGCGCGCGGACGCCGCGAATTTCGCGTTCCCGTACACGTCGCAGAGGATCGTCTTGAAGCTCGACAACAGCAGGGTGTAGCCCTCGGCGTCGTCGCGGTCCCAGCCCCGCGAGAGCTTCCAGCCGACCGACGCGCGCCTCGGAGCCTCGAGTAAGACCTGATCCGGCGCGTGCGCGCCGCCGTCGCGGAAGATCGCCGACAGCGCATCGTTCATCTCGTGCATCTCGTCCATGCGCGCGATGATTTCCTGCCCGTCAGGCTCGTCCGCTAGCTTCCGCCGCACACCGGCGAACTGCAGGCCGGCCCACTCGTCGCGCCAGCTGCGCCGCGGATCCGGGCCCACGCGCGCCTCCAGCAGCTCCAGCGCCCGCAGCGCGCGCGTCGACGCGGCCGTCGGCGGCTGGTTCCGGAACCAGGGCGCCGCGGTGAGGCGCTGGTGCGCCGCCTTCTGGGCGGCGCGGCGGGTCGTGTGGGCCACGCGTTCCATGTGTGCGAGGTCGACGGCAATCGAGTAAGCCATGACGTACCGCTGCACTTCCTCGGGCAGTTCTTTGGCCCGCCGCGCGAGCACTGGCGGCGCGACGCCGCCGGCGTGATCCATGCTGTGCGGCGGCCTCAAAGGAAATTTGAAGCCTGGTTGAACACAAATTGCCGCGACGCGATCGCGCTTAGCAACCCCCCCCGGGCCTCTAGTACACGAGCGCGGACGCCTCCGTGTCGCCGTCCATGGACTCGACCTCGTCGCCGTCGTCGTCGGGCCCGTCGGGCGCGAAGGGCGCGCGCGCGCCCGGCGGGCGGTTGTCGTGGGGCGCCGGGTTGCTCCGGCCGCCCGCGTCGGCGTCCTCGTCGAGGCGCTCGACGATGGGCGACCGCGCCGTGTCGATGGAGATGGCCGACGCGGCGAGCGCGGCGAGCGCGGCGACGGACGCCAAAAACGGCAGGCGCCACGAGTTCTTCTCGCCGTCGTAGACGATGTAGGAGCTCCCGAAGGCGCCGACGCGGCCGAGCGCGTAGGCCAGGCCCGTGCCGGAGACGCGCACGTCCGTCGGGTAGACCTCGGGCGTGAAGGTCCAGGCGACGCCGCCCGCGGCGAACAGCGCGCCGCGCGCGGTGTACGCGGACACGCCCCGCGCGGCGCCGTTGGAGCCCGCGCCCGTCGCGAGCTGCATGGCCAGGAGGGCCAGCGCCCCCGCCGTGAAGAACGCGGACAGCGCCGCGCGGCGCGAGTGCTCGATGATCTTCTGGCCGACGAAGACGAAGAAGAGCTCCGCGGTTGGGCACAGCGCGAGGTACGCGAAGTCGAAGGAGCACCGCGAGCTCACGGCGTCGTCGGCGGCCGTGACCTCCTCGCTCGGGTCCGCCCGCTTGCGGCTGTAGATGACCGTGATGAGGTCCACGGTGCCGTAGTAGGCGATGCCGAAGCAGAGCCAGCAGAGCCAGAACAAGCTCGTCGTCTTCCGGAGCCCCAGCGTGCAGACGCCCGGCGTCGTCATCTTGATCGTGCAGGACCCCCGCGGCGCCACGAGGTTCGCGTCCAGGTAGCCCGGCGCGCCGTCGGCCGCGGACCGGACCATCGACGGCGCCGTCGGCGCGTTCTCCCGGCGCCGCCGCTCGCGCCGCGCGGCGCGCCGCAGGCCCGCCGCCGACGCCTCGAGGCGCAGCCGCGGCTCCAGGGCCTCGTTGAGCGCCGCGACCTTGCGCAGCACCTGCTCCGCGTCCGCGACGCGGCCCTCCGCGAGGAGCCACCTGTGTGGAAACCAACCACTGGTTTGGGTGGTCCTGACCAAACTTGAGAATTCTCTAGCTCGGTCAAATCGAAGTCGATTCGGCTGATTTTTGGACGGATCGATCGCTCTTGTCGAGTTCTCGAAGCCCAGCTAAAGAGCTTGCGTCAAAACATTCGAATACGCTCACATTGAAGTCGGGTTGAAGATTTGGTTTCCACACAGGGAGCCACCGCGGCGACTCCGGCAGGTAGCGGTGCGCGAGCGCCGCGCAGGCCGCCGGCGGCAGCGCCGCGCAGGCGGCGATCCAGCGCCACTTGCTGCTCTCGCCGCCGGGGAACGTCGCCGACGAGTCCGCGATGGAGAAGACGGCCCACGCGAGGAGCGTCACCTGGGCAGCAAAAGGGTGATTCAACGTCGCTTCAACGTGAGTGTTCCGCGCGCGCGCGTTCCGAAATAAGCATCCACGCTTCGAGACCGTTCCGAGAGATGATCGCTCGTCCAAGAATTAGCCAAAACGAGTGGAAAATGGCCGAGATATGAGCCTTTGAAGTTGGGAATTTCGCACCCTTTTGCTGCCCTGAGCGTCGCGAGGATCGACCCCACGGACGCGAAGTAGTGCACGCGCATGAGCGCCGCGCCGCGGCCCCGCGTCCGCGGCGAGAACTCGACGAGCAGCCCCATGGCCACCTCGATGCCCCCGACGCCGACGCCGACGACCGCGCGGCAGAAGACGAGGAGCTGGAGCGTCGGCGACAGCGCGCTCAATAACCCGAACGCGGCGACGATGGCCGACGAGAACACGAAGGCCGGCCGCCGGCCGTAGGCGTCGGCGAAGTTGCCCCAGAACACGGCGCCGATGAGCTGCCCGACGAAGACCTAGGAACGCGTCGTGACGCGCGCGGGGTCGCGTCGCGCCTCGGATCGCGCGGCGCGCGCGCGGACGTCGTGAGCGCCGCCGAGGCCGTGCCGCTCGACTCCCAGTCCGCGGCGACGCACGGCGCGACGAAGGTCAGCAGCATGATGTTCGCCACGTCCGACGCGAACTGGCCGCCGCAGAGGATGAGCAGGTAGATCTCGAAGCGCCGCTTGCGGCCGGAGCAGGCCTTGAGCGAGTCGTCGATGGTCGTCACGCAGATCTCGTTCCCGCCGCCCATGCCGTACTTGAGCGGCGGATCCTCCTCCGACTCCGTGAACATCGTCGCCGCGGCGAGACGCGGCGGCGGCGCGCGAGGCAGCCCGGCACGGCGCGCACGTCAAGACGGGGCTGCTCGGACCTCAACATTGACAGAGCACCGCGAGAGCACCGAAGTTGGCGCTGAGAAGCACTCATTGCCCTCCGCGCCAGGTCCTCAAGCTGTGCGCAGCGCTACCTCGCCTTCCGTTCACGCGCTGCGGCAAGAGCTCGGCCGTGCGGAGCCGCACGCTCCTCGCGCTCTCGGTCTTCGTCGTCGTCGTGATCATGCCTCGGCTTTTGAGCTTGATCCTCGTCGCGTCCGCCGCAGCGCTCGCGCCGACGCGCAGGCAGCTCTTCCGCGCCGTCGCCGGTGCGCCGGCGCTCGCCACGGCGCCCGCGCTCGCCCGGGACGAGCAGCTCACGCGCATCGGCCAGGAGGCGCCGCCGGCGAAGCCCGACGACATTCCCTTCACGACGCTGCGCTCCGGCGTCAAGGTGAAGACGCTGCGGCCCGGCGGCGGCGACGCGGCCGTGACCAAGTCGTCGACGGTCTTCGTCGAGGCGACGGGCCGCCTGCTGAACCTCAACGGCGTGACCTTCTACTCGACGAAGAACATCGCCGGCGCGGATTCGCTCGGCGGCGCCGAGCTCAAGCTCGCGCTCGGCTCCGGCGGCGTCGTGCCCGGCTTGGAGGAGGGCCTCGTCGGCGCGCGGAAGAACGAGATCCGCCGCATCATCGTGCCGTCGGAGCTCGGCTACTCCGAGGACCCGGCCAAGGCGGCCATGGAGCCGAACCCGCCGTCCGTCGAGGACCGCCGCGCGCTCGACAGCGTCCTGCGGAACCCGCGCCGCGACGCGGCGATCCTCTTCGACGTCAAGGTCGTGCGGATCAAGTAGGACTTCCGGTAACTTTAGGCCAGCCCGCCCTTGCTCTCCTCCGCCGCGGGGTCGGCCTTGGCGGGCGCGCTCGGGCCGACGGCGCTCGCGCCGACCATGTCCGCGCCCTTGGGCGGCGCGACCTTGTAGATGATCGCGAGGAGCACGGGCGTGAGCAGGAGCCCGTGGATCGCGCCGAAGGCCACGGTGCCGAAGAGCAGCTTGAAGAACGTGCGGAACACGGACGACGACGCGTTCGCGAGGAAGAGGATGCCCAGGAAGGTCGTGAAGGCGCCCTTGACGACGGCCGAGCCCATCATGTTGTACGCGCCCTCGACGCGCTGGAGCGGGCCGCCGGACGAGTGCGCGAAGCCGTGGGCCATGTGCACGCAATAGTCCACGCAGAGGCCGATGCCCATGACGATCACCGTGTACGCGACGGCGTTCAGCGGCACGTCCCACGCGACCATCAACCCCACGAGGTCGATGTCGACGATGAGCACCGTCGTCGTGCACGCGACGGCCGCGCGGACGTCGAGGAACGCCGCGACGACAGCAAAAATAACGACGGACGCGATGCACACGGACGCGAACGTGAAGCCGCGCACGACGCTGTCGCTCGCGCCGTACATGAACATCTCGGACCACACGTACGCTTTGTCCTCGAAGCCCGCGTCGTCGACGATGTCCTCGTACTTCCCCCGGACGCGGTTCGCGGCGATCGTGTCGTCGTCGATGAGGTGGTAGAAGTACTGGCGCGAGCTCGACACGCCGTCCGTGAAGTTCGTCGCCTCGCAGTCGCCGCGCTGGCAGACGAGGTCCTCGACGGGGTGGATCGTGCCCCCGAGCGCGTTCCGGAGCTGCGCGTCCGTGAGCACGGCCTCGCCGCCGCCGTTGTACCAAAGCGCCTGGCGGAGCCAGGTCGTCGTCGGGTCGCCGACCCGGCCGATGCAGTCCGCGCGCGCCTCGACGCGGCCGAACAGGGAGTCGGGCCGCGTCGTCATGTTCGCGTCGTAGCCTAGCCGCGTCCGGTAGCCGACGTCCGCGTAGTCGCTATCCTTCTTGACGACGAGGGACGAGTACCAGACGCGCTTCCCGGGCCAGTAGACGTCGTAGCTGTCGAAGAAGTCGATCATGTAGGAGTCGTCGGGCACGACGTCCCGCGCTTCCAGCCCGACGCCGAGCCGCGGGAACAGCGCGAGCGAGAACGCCGCGCCCGCGAGACAGCAGAAGAGCACCGCGGCGCAGCGCTCGGGCGTCGCGAGGAGCCGCTGGAGCCGGTCCAACAGCGCCTTGACCGCCCGGTCGATGCAGTCCGGCGGCGCCTCGCCCGTTTCTAATGTCGCGTCGCCGACGCGCGCGTCGCCGACTTTCGCGCAGGGGCAGCAGTAGTGGCGCTTCGCCTGCTGGCGCCGCACGTCGACGCAGACGAGCGCGGGGAAGAACGTCACGTTGAGCACGTAGTTCCAGAGGAAGGCCCAGAAGGCCACGCAGCAGAACGTCGACACCGCGGGCATGTCCGTCATGACGCCGGAGAGGAACGCGAGGCACGCCGTCACGCTCGTGAGGAAGATGGCCGCGCCCGCGTCGTGCATGGCCGTGCGCATTCTTTCCTCGATGGGATCCGACTCGTTCGTCCTGCGGGCGGGGAGCGACCAATGTTCCGAAGAAAAACGCCGTCGCGGACGCGGGACCGCGCTGGTCGAAGAACTCGAGGACGACGAGCATGTCGTCGCAGCCGACGCCCAGGACGATGAAGGGCACCATGAAGCAGATGGAGTTGATCTCGTAGCCGACGAGCGCCGTCATCGCGAAGCCCACGAGGAACGCGAGCACGACGACGACGAAGACCGAGAGCGCGAGGAGCGTGCGGCTCCGCACGGCCGAGCCCTTGCCGCAGCGCGTGAACGCGAAGGCGAGGTAGCCCATGATGACGAACATGGCCGTGAAGAGGAGGGGCATGTCCGTCTCGACGAGGCGCACGACCTCGTCGTCCATGGACCGGTCCGCGTAGAACACGAAATCCACGGGCAGCGTCCCCGCGTCCTGCACGTCGAACATGCGGTCGATGTAGGCGAGCTCCCAGTCGAGGCACCGCGTCTCCTTCTCCGCGTCCGTCGCGTAGGTGATGATCATGGCGCCCGCGCCCAGGAGCGTGCCGTTCTCGTCGCGGCGGATGTCGCCTAAAATCGCCTCCAGCGGCACGGACGCCTCGAGGCCCATGAACATGTAGTTGATCATCGACGCGTTCGCCGCCGCGGCGATGGCCGCCCGGTCGTAACCGAAGAGCGCGAGCGGGTTCCAGTAGTTGCACTGGCGGTAGGCGCCCTCGCCGTAGGCGTAGCAGACTGCGAGGGGCGCGCGCGCGCGTCGGGGCCGCGGAAGGCGCGCGCGCGTCGGGGCCGCGCGGAGGGCGCGGGCGGCGCGCTGTCCTCGAAGGAGACCTTCTTCTCGTCGGAGACGATGTTGAAGGCGATGTCCTCGTGGACGTCGAGGACGCCCTTGAGGTTCTCCTCCGTGAGGATGTTGTCGCCGGACTTTGGGTAGAGGATGAGGATCTGGTTCCGCCTGAAGGGGCCGAAGCGGTCGATCATGTCGAGCATGTTCTTGTACGGCGAGCTCTGCGTCGGGATCCACAGGTAGAGGCCGTCGGTCTGGACCTTCATCGTGGCGAGGCCCATCGTCATCAGGAGAGACCAGAAAACCATGCCCCAGATGACCGCGCACGGCCGCCGCGCCGCGAGGCTGCCCACGTAGCCGCTCGCCTCGCCGACGCGCGACCGCTGCGCCCCGGTCATGCTCGCGCCGCTCGTCCAAGGCACGCTGGGGCCTGGAACACCGCACCGAACGCCGCGAGTCGTGGAATGCAGGGCTGCCCCCTGAAGCTGACTGTGTTTGTAGAGAATTGAGCGCTACGAAAACGTATTTGCGAGCTGTTTTAGGTGAAGCCAGCATTGAATGAGTTGCCACAGAGCATGGTGTGCAATAGCTGCCCGATGTGACCACTCTCGTGAGCCTCTTCGGCAAATAGCTGTCCGATGCGACCGCTCTTCGTGAGCCTCTTTGGGCTCTGCGACTTCCGCGCCGGCGTCGAGCTGCGCTCGGGCGGCGTCGGCGGCCGCGGCCTCTTCTGCGGCGAGGCCGTCGCCGCCGGGCAGGAATTGATCACCATCCCGCACGACTCGATCCTCGACGAGCGCACGGCCGCCGCGGCGCTGGCGGCCGAGGGGCTGCCGCCGAGCGCCGACGAGCCGACGTGGCCGTCGACGCTGACGGGCGCGTCGATCGTCCTCGGCGCCGACGCGAAATGGCGCGGCTGGCTCGCGTCGTGGGTCGCGGCGGACGCGGCCAAGCCCGGCGCGGCGTACCGCTGGGCGGACTGGCGCGACGACGACGTCGCCGGTCGCTGCGCCGCCCTCGCCGCGGAGCACGCGCTGTTCGCGGCGCCGCTGCTCGAGGACCGCGCGCGCGCGCGCCGCGGCCGCCGCGCGGCGCGGAGCGCCTGGTGGGCCTCGACGCGGGGCGACGTCGCGGCGTTCCGCGCGGCGCTCCCCGTCGTCAACTCGCGGGCCGTGCGCGCGACGGTCCGCGGCGAGTCGCTCATGGCCCTCGTGCCCGGCTTCGACATGCTCAACCACGCGTCGAGCGACCGCCGCAACGTCGCGCTCGCGCCCCGCGATCAGGGCCTCGCGGTCCGGGCCACGCGCGACCTCGCCGCGGGCGACGAGCTCCTCACGTGCTACGCGGACGTCGACGACTACGACGCGGACGCGGCGGCCCACCTCCTCCTCACGTGGGGCATCCCGCCATAATTAGCCTCCCCTAATCGGCGGAGTAGAGGACGAAGGCGACCTGGGAGCCGAAGCCCGCGGCGAAGCGGAGCGCGAACTTGATCGGCGGCCCGCCGCGGTCGCGCGCCGCGAGCGCCAGACCCACGCCCAGGTTCGCGTCGGACACGCAGCCCGGCGGGCAGGGCGGCAGCGGCGTCGTCGGCTGCGACAGCGCGAGCGCGGCGACGACGTCCTCGACGCCGACGGCCATCGGGTGGCCCGTGAGCGCCTTCGTGTTCACGACGACGAGTTTCGCCACGAGCTCGTCGCCGAAGCAGGCCCGCAGCGCGCTGATCTCGTTGTGGGCGCAGGAGCTCGACGGCGTCGCGTGCGTGCCCGTCTCGTGCGACAGGTACGCGCCCCGGTCCGCGATGGCCTTCCGCGTCACGCCGTGTTTCCGCTCCACGAGGCGCAGGAACGCCTCGAGCTCGCTCGCGATGTGGGGCCCGCACATGGCCGCGCCGTGGTAGGCGCTGTTGCTGTAGAGCGTCTCGAGGACGCGGCAGCGCGCGCGCCGCGGCCGCGCCGCGCCGGATCGGGGCGCGACGACGCACGGCCGGGAGGTAGACGCGCGCCGCGCGAACCAGCCCCCCGGCGGCGGCCTCGGCCGCGGCGCGCCGGCGCGCTCGATGACTAGAGCGCAGGCCGCGGCGCCGACGACCATGCCGTTGCGCCGGTTGTCGAAGGGCCGCGCGGCCGTCGCCGCGTCGCGCGCCGTCGACGCGGCGCCGAGCGCGTTGAAGCCGTTGCCCACCCAGGGCATCAACGCATCGCCCGACGCGTCGTCGCCGGAAATCACGACGACGCGGTCGCAGCGGCCCGCGCGCAGCAGGTCCTGGGCGACGCCGACGGCCTGCGTCGTGCCCGCGCACGCCGCGTTCGTCTGCAGGTTCGGCCCCCGCGCGCCCGTGAGCTGCGCGAGCTGCGAGTTGCCCAGCACGAGGACCTTGAAGAGGAACTTGCGGTCGAAGGTGTAGGTCTTCGACGGGGCGCCGTCGGCGGACGGCTTCCGCGGGGACCCGCACGGCGACGCGTGGCCGCCCGCGGCGGCCCGCAGCGCGTCGAGCGCGTCCGCGACGTCGCCGGACCCGCCGAGCTTCGCCTCCAACGCATCGATCAACGCCGCCGCCGACTGGCGCGACGGCTTCAGGTACTCGCCGTAGCGGCCGACCTCGGCGACGGCCGCGTCGAGCGCGGGAAACGACGTCGCGTAGACCTGGGCAGCAAAAGGGTGCGAAATTCCCAACTTCAAAGACTCCTCTCTCGGTCGTTTTCCGCTCGTTTCGGCTGATTCTTGGACGAGCGATCATCTCTCGGGACGGTCTCGAAGCGTGGATGCTGTTTCCGAAACGCGCGCGCGCGGAACACTCACGTTGAAGCGACGTTGAATCACCCTTTTGCTGCCCTGGCGTAGACGACGCCCGTGCCGTCGCGGAGCGCCTCCGGCAGCTTCCAGCGGTCGTCGCCGGCGACGTCGGCGACGAGGCCCGCGTCCTTGAGCGCCTCCAGGCCCGCGGCCACGGCGATCTGCGTCGCCTTGCCCATGGTCTGCGCGAGGGCCTTGGGCACGCCGTACTCGGCCGAGAGGTCGAAGTCGCCAAGCCGCGCGGAGACGCCCACGGTCTGGTCGCGCCGCGTGATGGGCACCTTCGTCGGCCCCCGGTCCTTGGACTTCTGGAGCTGGACGACGCGCCGCGCGAGCAGCGCGTCGGCCTGGTCGTCGCCGAGCGGCTCGATGAGGCACTCGCCCCGGAGCAGCGCGGCCGCGTTCGCGCCGCAGAAGACCTTGCGGCCCGTCCCGGGCAGGCCCAGGCCCACGCCGGAGACGACGCAGCCCTCGCACGGCTCCAGCGCCACGCGCCGCGCGCCCGGGGCGCCGGCGCGCGCCGCCGCTTTCGGCCGTCGCACGACGAGCACGAGCGTCAGGAGCGCCGCGCCGGCGCAGGCGGCGTTGATGACCTCGATGCCCAGGCTGAGCTGGGCGCCCATGCTGGCGCAGCGACGTGCGCGGTCGCGATGCGGTCGCGCGGGCAGCGCAAACGACGTCGACTGCTGCGCACGGCGAGCGGCGGCGCGAGGCACAATTTTGCCACTTCATGAAGACCTCAACACAAAGCGCTCGACGCGATGTCGATGCGTCACGCGCGCCATGCGCGACGCCTCCTGCGGCTGCAACCATCGCGCAGGCTCTCGAAGAGGTCGAACTTCGACAAACCATCGCGCAGCTTCTCGAAGCGGTCGAACTTCGACGCCGGCTGGCACCCGGCGACGGTCGCCATCCACGGCGACGCCTGGGACGTGCCCCTGAGCTCCCACGACGGCGACGTCGCGCCGCCGCTGGGCGTGTCGACGACCTTCGAGCAGAGCGACCACGTCTACGGCCGCGACACGGCGCCGACGCGCCAGAAGTGCGAGGCCGTGCTCGGCGCGTTGGAGGGCGGAAGCGCCGTGCTCTTCGCGTCGGGTTTAGCGGCGACGCACGCGGCCGTCGCGGCCGTCGCGGGCCGGAGCCCCGGCCGCACGCGCGTCGCCATCGACGGCGGCTACCACGGCACGCACGCCACCCTGAAGTGCCTCGCGGCGCTCGGCGCCGACGTCGACGTCGTGCCGCTGCCGCCGCCGGACGCGTGCGGGGCGACGCTCGGCGCCGGCGACCTCGTCTGGCTCGAGACCCCCAAGAACCCGGACTGCGCCCTCGCGGACGTCGCCGCCTACGCGCGGCACGCGCCCTGCGCCGTCGCCGTCGACGCGACGTTCGCGCCGCCGCCCGCGCAGACGCTGCTCAAATCGGGCGCGGACGTCGTCT